GCGAAAGAATTTGGAACGATGTTTATTTTATTCAGTTCAGTTATACATACAGTCAGTGTCAGTCGAAGGGTTTATCTCTGGTCAGTCGGTAACGCGTGTGAATAGTGTCTGTTGCGTGGCTCAAACGAAATAAAAAATGGCACATGTTTATGCGGATCGGTTTCCCAATCGAGTGCAACCAACCCCTCGTGCCTTTGTTAATGTAGTACAACGGGCTCGTGAATCAGGTGACTTCAGACCTCACAGGGGACCTCACGATCAAATACAGGTCCGCACTGAAATACTTGTCGGGAGGATACTTTATAAAACAAGGTAAAAATTTTTTTTATTTTTTTTTTATTTTTACACATATTTTGGTTTATCTTCCTTCTACAATCATTATCTGAAAATTAATGACTCAACTTCAAAGTCACCCTGTATATTCTATGACTCTCCTTAATGGCTACCAAAATTTCTGCATATTCCAAATCCAGATTCGTAAAGAAAGTATCTCTACGGAGAAGTCTGATCCCAGTTCAATAGCCTAGACTTCTGTGTTCTATCCCTATAAACAGACAAAGTGTCTTGAGGTAAGGAATCAAACGTGTTGATCCATCAGACTTGAGGGCAAAAAAAAGCTGGATAGGTGCTGATTTTTAGTTAGCTCAACTTTTTTACTGATAGCACCGCAGCTAAGCAATTGAAAGACTGTCGAATGTCGGCAGTTCATAGATGGACTAATGAGATTCAGCTATGGCAAAGTGCTGAACCAGTCACCATTCGGCAAGTGACCACTTGAATCCAACTCAGGACTTTAGCGTAACTCCTAAAGCTCTCTGCTATTGATGATGAATACGCGTCATTGTCCCTGCTGATCTACGTACCTCATCTGCAATAATGGGTGATATCTGATGTTGTCAGTTTTGGCCTTCAGTGGCTGCTCATATTTATCTGATTTCTATTTAGAATTGACTTACTTGGTCAGACCTACACCGAAGAACAATATATCAATGGAAGCCTCTGTCTAAGTTATTTGCTTTAATGTGAATATCTGCCAGCATGCGCCCTTATTTGAACGTAGAGGAGAGAGTGTTGCCACTTGCAGTTAATGAACAGCTCACATGTTGCTGTACACAGATCAAGCACGCATTCCTGCGTGCGACAATTTCTATTATAGCTTCCGCTACCTCAGGGTTCACCTTAGGTGGCTAGAATAGAACAAAATTTATTCATCTATCGTGATCAACAAGACCTGCCCTCGAAATGTCAGCCTTGGAGCAACGCGCGAACATCAATTATACTAAGGTTGCTTCATCATCGTGGTGATGCGTCATCTATTGAAACAGAATACATGGCCTTTAAGACATTACAATCCAGAGCGCCCTCCTGTTCGAGTGCCACCTATGCAAAATATAACGCTAATCGGGAATAATGATACTTAATCTCCGTTATTACTGAACCTTAGAACTTTGATGGTTTCCTAACCGGTCATGTTCATACGTACAGTCTTGTTCCATAGTTATCACCAGCCAGGTGGAATTTGCTATCACAAGCAAAATGTAACGCTAGTCTACCATAGATGTACCTAATTTCTATATGTTGTTAATTGAAAATAGTACTTCAGCTGTTTCGTAACCTGTCATGTGCATATTATTGACCTGTTAATTGGCTATTCCAAACCATATGGTTTTGCATAGATAAAACCTAATCTCTGTTATTAACGAAAAATGGTAATTTAGTGGTTTCCTAAACTGTCATGTGCATTCTAACAATGATGTTCCAAGGTTATCACGAACCAGATGAAATGCTATCACAGGCAAAATGTATTGCTAACCTCGCATAAGGTGCCTATTCTCTATCGGGTGATACGAAAAATATATACATTGGCGGTTTCCCAACCCCTTCATAATTACACACCTGTTCCATGATTATCACAAACCACGTGGCTATCACAAGCAAAATGTGACGCTAGTCTCGCATAGATGTACCTAATCTCTGTCGTTTATTAATGAAAAATGGTACTTCGGCGACTTCCTAACTTCTCATGTGCACCCTTACAATATTGTTCCATAGTTATCACAAACCAGATAGAATTTGCTATCCCAAGCAAAATGTAACGCTAGTCTCACATAGATGTTCCCAATTTTTATGTTAATCATGAAAAATTCTTTATTGCTACATTGCTATCACAAACCAGATGGAATTTGCTTTCTCAAACAAAATGTAAAACTAGCCTCGCATATATGAACCTAATCTATGACTGTTATTAATGAAAAACGCTTTCAATGTTGTTATTTGTCGTAGGATCTTAGCCATCACAAGCTAAGTACAAGTTACCATCACAAGCAACGGAGTTCTGTTTTGTCATTATCCCAAACATCTTCATTCGTTCTTGGTGTGGAGCTGACTATCACAAGCTAGCTCCATGTTTCTATCACAAGCAACCGAGTCCAATGTTACAACGTTATCCCAAATGTCTTCGTTCATCTTTGATGGGGAGCTGACTATCCCAAGCCAGGTCCACTTTGCTATCCCAAGCAACAAAGTCTAATGCTTCCACGTTATCCCAAACGTCTTCATTCGTCCTTGGTGTAGAGCTGACTATCCCAAGCCAGGTCCACGTTGCTATCCCAAACAACCGAGTCTAATGTTTCAGCGTTATCCCAAACGTCTTTATTCGTCCTTGGTATGGAGTTGGTTATCACAAGCTAGGTCCAGATTGCTATCCCAAGCAACAGTTTCAGAACGTCCATACTAATATTCACCTAACTTGTACCTAAAACAGATCGGTTAGTCGACAATTACCTGATGTCTGACGCCCCTTCAGAAAAAGAGGCCTGCATGCCAATTTCTAATTTTGCTCCGCGACGAAAGGAACCTTGAAGCGACCGTCGGTCAGTATTTTGCCGATAATGCACATCTATCGGCCAAGCTTCTGTCCTGTAGTCTAATTCTAAATGTTCAGCGGTTCCTCGACACTGCTGAAAACGTGAAAACGACATGTTAACGGTTTGGTACGAGAACAAGGGATGCGTGTTTGTTGGCGGCCAGAGGGGAGGAAGGTAGGGGGAGCGCGGTGCCGCTTTTATTTGTGGCGTGCGCGCTTTGAAATCCTGGAGGGGGTTACACTACGAGGGTACTACATTATGTATTCTAAATACTTACTTCGACGAGGTTGGAACATAATATCTCAAATACCCAGTGTACGCTGGCCACTCGCCCGGAATCAGCAGCTGTATCCCAGCCAAATACAAATTATTTAGCTCATTGAACTAAAATATTATTGTCTACGCTGAAAGTTCATATTTTCGATGTTTTGGGTAATAAGCAAACCTGTAGAGCACTCATAGATACAGGTAGTGAGTATTGTTATGTTTCTAAAAAAAATCGCAGAAAAACTAGGTTTACCGATAAAAAAGAGTGCTGGTACTATTTACGGATTATGAGGTATGGAAATGTTGAATATAGGTCAAATTTCGGTTACTGTTACCCCTCTAAATAAATCGCAGCCTACTTAAAATTTTGATGCTATTGTTTTGGATAAAATTTGTACTACGATTGATGTGAGAGAATGGTCTCATATCAAGGACTTAGAATGGTGTGACCCGGAATTCTTAATTTCTCAACCTATAGAATTAATTTTGAATGCAGATTTTTTCCAACGCATTCTTATTGGTGGACACATTGATTCCTCTCTGAGTAATTCACCTCGATCAATAAATACATCTTTTGGACATACTTTCATGGGACAATTTGACTATCAGGAATGTATAAGCAAAAACTTTTTTTACTCAGAACTCGCTTAATGACTCTTTAAATCGTTTTCGGAAAATAGAATCGGTTCCACATCGCTCATATTTGTCTGCTGACGAATTAAAATGCGACAAATTTATGAAAAAACAACTTCTCGGGAAACATCCGGGAGATATGTTTGTAATAATGAGGAACCTATCTTCCATGACAGCAAGCAAATAGCGCAACAAAGATTTTTCTTTTTAGAAAAACGCCTTTTAGCTTATAAAAAATTGTACGATCTTTATACGAATTCTATACAAGACATGATAGACAATAATTATATGTCTTTATTTAATAACATTCATTCTTCTTCGCTTTATGAATATTTCACACCGCATCATTACGTGTTTGAACCGGAATCAACTACCACAAAATTAAGAGTTGTTTTCGATGCTAGTTGTGAGGATTCCAAGGTTATTAGTCAAATTCTTCTGAATTTTAGATTGCCACAAATCGCTATAACCGCTGACAAGTCAATGTATTTGCAAATTTTAATTAACCCATCGCAGAGACGCTTCCAAAAAATCTTATGGAGATTTTTGTAGGCTCTCAACTTGAGTATGTTCTGAACACTGTCAGTTTTGGCATTAGTTGCTCGCCTTATTTAGCTTTAAAAACTATCCAATACTTAGCAAAACATGAAGAGAACAATCATCCATTGGCTTTACTGAATGATATATTCGTAGATGGGATGTGCTGATTTAGATGAAGCTGTTTTGTATGCTCATCATGTCGCATATAACACTTTAATTTCTTGAACGTTTATTGGGTTTGGACTGGATACAAACTTACACGGACGTATATAAGGGGGGGGTTTTGGGGGTCCGGACCCCCCCCATTCATATCCACCTTACTTGTCCAACAGAAAAAAATTACATGCACCGCGCCGATTGTAATAAACGATAGTTGCTGTGGAGCGTGTCCGTAGGGCGAGTATCGGAAAACGCGATGCGTATGCCCGCGTAGTGCGGGGTGAGGGGGGATGGGCACTTCCCCCGCCACCGTCGCCCGCGCTTCGGCGGCGCGCACCAAACCAAGCTAGTCTAGTAGTCTAGTCCACAGAACTGTCTAGTCTATTTTATCTCTTCGCGTTGACGCGTTGCGCAGTTGTTATAAATACAATATAGAAAGAAGTGTCGCTATGAAACGAACAAATCAGGTATCTCTTTTGGGTTTTTTTTGTAAGAAAGAGAGTCCAAAGCCCAATGAACTTTTGTCAATTGAAGAATAGGAATAAATAGAGCGGGGCCATCCACAGATACTGATGACGATGAAGTGAAGAAAGGTAAGTCTCTTATTTATTTAATTAGGAAGAAATCCAGTTATTTGAATTTAATAGACGCTCTAAAAACTTTTATCCTGCTCTTATTTTTATTCCCAGAGAATTTTTGTAAACAATTGTGTTGCCGTGAGCATAAAATATTTGACAAAAATGGTAATTTCAGTGTATATGCGGAATGTACCTAAGTGTCATAAAATCATTTCGCCTTTTAAGAGAAATAGAATTATATTTAACAACTAAGTGGCGCCCGCGACTGTGTTCGCGTAGACTTAATTTTTAGTTGAAAATTCTTATTCCCAACATAACTTTTTAGTTTTTGTCAAATATTTCTTTGTTACAGCCAGGATCGATTTGTGTTCGGCTCCGTCCGCAGCCGCAGCCAGGACGGGTTATGATATTGGGAAATACGTATGTCATCCTCCAAGCAATGACGAGGAAAAGCTGAGAGCATTAAAAGAGCCTTGGATTCCTCCGGACACATTTAAATTTCCAGTCACTGACACCGGTAAAAAGAAACTTTCTTTTCAACGCCATTGGACTAACAGGTACTCATGGCTTGTATATTCAAACCTCATGCAGGGAGCACTTTGCAAAGTATGTGTTCTACTTGGAAAAACGCAAGGTGGTCGTGGTCATCAAGAACTTGGAGCCTTTGTTAGTAAGCCATTTATTAACTGGAAGAAAGCTTTAGAGAGCTTTGATCACCATGCAGATACAAAGTATCACAAATTTGCTGTTGAGCAGGCAGCAAATTTTGCAAGGATCATGGAAGGAAAAACGCTTGATGTTACAGAATGCTTAAATGTAGAAAACAATAAAATTGCCGAAGAGAACAGAAAAAGATTAAAAGCCATTGTTGAAACAATTATTCTTTGCGGAAGGCAAGCAATAGCACTAAGAGGAAGTCATGATTCTGGAGAAATTGGGATAAATGAGCCTGAACATAATGATGGTAATTTTAGAGCACTTCTTCGTTTTCGTGCGCGATCTGGCGATGAAGCACTCAAGAATCATTTACTAACACAAAACATTCACAGTAGAGCCATGTATACGTCATCAGTAATTCAAAATGAGGTGATTGAACTATGTGGTAGTGCTATTCAAACGCAAGTACTTAATAGGGTCAAAGAGGCTGGTTTTTTTACTATACTTGCTGATGAAACACAAGACATTTCACGGCGAGAACAATTAGCGTTATGTTTACGATATGTACACTGCTCATCTGGGAAATCGGTTATACAGGAAGATTTTTTAGAATTCATTCACGTAGAAGATGTTTCAGCTCAAGCTTTGGCAACGACTATTATATCACATCTTTTATCATATAACTTGGATATGGATAAATGGATTGGTCAAGGCTATGATGGCGCTGCAGTGATGAGCGGCCGGTTACGGGGCGTAAGAACAATAATCTCAGAGCAATACCCGAAGGCGCAATTCGTACACTGTGTTGCTCATGTTCTTAACTTAGTTTTAGCGCATTCATGTGAGATACCAATGATACGTAACTGTATCGGAACCATTAAGAGCGTAATAAACTTTTTTCGCCAATCACCGCTTCGCGACGGACTTTTGAAGAAAATTGCGGATCAAATCAACTCATCTCATTCAACGCTTATCTCTCTTTGTGAGACAAGATGGACCGAGAAACACGTGGCTGTCGAAAGATTTGCAGAAATGGTTCCCGTTATACGCGAAACACTTGGGGCACTTCAAGATGCTGCAAGCAGCGACGTCGCTACTCAAGCATACCATCTTCAAACCGCTATGGATAACAGCCAGTTTATTGTTTCTTTAGTTATACTGAGAAAAGTTTTTTCATATACAGCAAACCTTAACAAAGCAATGCAGAAAGTCAATGTCGATTTGACCAACATTTGCGAATATACAAAAACGGTAAAAACGACTTTACTAAATGTTCGGAACGAAAGTCAGTTTGCAATCCTTTTTGAGCAAGCGCAGCAGATGAGTTCAGGCGATATAGTCGTGCCAAGAATAACTGGAAGGCAAACCCTGCGCAATAATATTGCAGCAGAAACTGCCGAAATATACTACCGACGAAATGTGTTTTACCCTTTCATTGATCATGTTATTGCAGAACTCGACGCTCGTTTTAAACCACATGAATCGACGATCGAAGGAATTCAAATGCTGTTACCTGAAAAAACTAGTAATGACTCCAGGATAAAAGAAAATCTTGAAAAAATTGCACAAACATTTCTTGGTGGAGAAAATGAAGGCACAATATTTCTGAGTGAATATGAGATATGGCACAATCACTGGAAATCTGTAGCACAAAAACCTGCAACTGTGCTTGACGCTATCGATAACTGCGATGATCAGTTCTTCCCTTCAATAAAAAAGCTTCTAATTATCTTAGCCACACTCCCAGTGTCCACTGCAACCCCTGAAAGATCTTTCTCTACCTTAAAGAGGTTAAAAACTTACCTAAGAAATAAAATGGGCGATGAAAGACTTACTGGTCTGGCTTTAATGAGCGTACACCGAGATCTGGCGGTGCAACTAGATTCCGAAGAAATTATCAATCAGTTAGCAATAAAACGTAGAAGACTAAATTTATTATTTTAAAGTTTCAACTTTGTTACTTTTGAATAAATATTGCAATACATACATTAAACTTTTTATTTAAAGGCACCTACCTAAGTAACCTGAGTTATATATTATAGATTACCCGCGACTATACTTGCGTGTTATAATCGAAATGTTTAATCTGTAAGTAATAGATCCAATTGGCGTTAGAGCTCTGTTTTTTTTCACTTTGGGGACCCCCCCCTTATCAGAGCTATAGCTACGTCAGTGCAAACTTATAATGTATAAGCGATACATTCACAGGTTAGTAATGTCTTTTTCACCTCTGGTCGACCGCTCGATCGATTGGTAGATCCGGGAGCCGACTTGTGTCCAGAGGTTCAAGCGTGAGTTTTTTCTTCCTGGTTCACGGTTTCACCAACGGGGTAGCCGGGCGAGATGCAACGAAATCGTAGCACCAGAATGTCTGTCTGCACATGCGCACACCCTGGCGTCACTTTGGATTGAGTATACAGGGTGGTGTACAGGGTGATATCGGCTGATTGTACCGGGATGTACAACAGAAGCTTTAGCTCTGCAAGAAGATTTAATTGATTGTCCTTCTAAAAAGGATGTTTCAAGAAGTATAACTGGACTAGCAACAGGAAAGAATTTTTAAATAATTTACCGCTTGACTGCCAAGTATCAAATTACGCTTTTTCTTTTGACACTGAAGCAAACGCTAGTATCAAGATATTAGGATTGAAATGGAATCCCTTCGCTGATATGTTTTTTACTCTGTAAACCCGCGAAACGTACTGTGCACGAAAAAAAGTCTACTTAGTGAAATAGCTCGCATATATGATCCGCTGGGTTATTTGACACCTGTAACTTCGATCGCTAAATTACTTATACGCAATTTATGGTTAGCAAAATTAGATTGGGATGATACGCCTAACCAAGATATACTGGAAACCTGGCAAGAGTACAAACTTCAATTGCCCTGTGTATCAAATATATCTATACCCCGCTTAGTTTTACCTAAACATTATAGCTACATAGATTTAATTGGTTTTTCAGATGTCAGCTCAACGCTCATTTAGCCGTAGTTTTTAACAAAATTCTTACGCATTCAACGATACAGACTTATTTGTTATGCGCGAAATCTAAGGTGAACCCTTTGAAGCAAGTTTCTATACTGCGATGTGAACTACCAGGAGCAGTTTTGTTGTTTCAACTATTGCGCTTTTTTATTGACACATATAGCAATAAAATTTCCTCCAAACATATTTTCGCATTTACAGATTCTACAATCGTTTTATATTGGCTTAATTCCTCACCACACAGATGGAAACCATTTGTAGCCAATAGGATATCAATCATTCAAAAAATGCTATCTGATGTTCAGTGGTATCATGTGTCTTCGGAAAATAATATCGCAGATTGCGCATCTCGTGGTTTACAGCTCTTAGATTTTAAAAACTATGGCCAATGGTGGGCAGGCCCTGCTTTTTTGTCACATCCATATGCACATTGGCCCACATGTTCTCCAATAAACATACCACACTGTGTGGACAATGAACAAAGACAAACCGCTCTTATGTCATACCCAGATCCGAACATATTGAATATGCTTTTGATCAAATTTTCATCATTATGCAAGCTTCAATCAGTTGCTGCAAATATTCAAAGATTTATTTATAACTCTAGGAATCCCAAAGACAAAAATTTTATCTCCGCTCACCGCTTTGTGTCTGAAGAACGCAATACACGCTTTGCTCAAGTCAATACTTTTCTTCAGATATTTATAATTTAAAGGCCTATAAGCTCACTTCTAAACCGCTAAGGAAACTTGATGTTTTCCTAGATGATAATGGAATTCTCAGGGTTGGTGGTAGACTACACAATTCACTCGTAAGTTATGACAAACGATTTCCTATTCTACTGCCTCAGAATTGTCCTCTAACGCATATCATTATTACTGACACGCATATTAAAAACCTGCATCTAATAATTGGATTTTAACTTCGCGTCGTGCTGTAAAGAAAGTAGTATCACGTTGTGTTACTTGCTAGCGCAGTCGACGTATCCGATTTCAACCCATTATGGGACGCTTACCAGTTGTTCGAGTAACTCGCTCAAAACCTTTCACCACTGTAGAGATAGATTTTGGTGGTCCTTTGTCTATTACCCACGGAAAACATAGAGGCACCAAGTCTATCAAAGCTTACATTTGCGCATTTGTGTTGCGCTGTTGAAGCCTTACATATTAAACTCAGATCTTTCTACTGAGAATTTTCTATATGCATTACGCAGATTTATAGCCAGACGTGGAGAATGTTCAAAAATAATTAGCCACAATGGTACTAACTTTTCAGGCGCCACCAAGTATCTGCTTAAAATTATGAAAGATTGTGCCCAAAAAATTGAACGGTCTTTCCATCCGCCTTATGCCTCTAATTTTGTAGGTATTTACGAAGCTGGAATAAAATCCGCCAAAACGCATTTATTCCGAGTTATTGGATCGCAAAATTTTACATATGAAGAATTGAATACAGTTCTGGTTCAGATAGAGGCGCTCTTCACCTCCAGGCAACTGTTTGCTTTGAGCTCAGACACCAACGACTTTACGGCACTGAGCCCTGGTCATTTTCTAACGTTGAATCCATTATCCTGTTTACTTGGCCCTGATTTTTCTAATTTAAATATCAATCGTGTAGACTGTAGATAGATACCAATTAATTTTACGCTTACTTAAAGATTTTTGGTTGCAATGGCAACAGGAGTATCTTGACTCTCTTCATCACAAAGCAAAGTGGTATACTCCAGGTGTTGAACCTAAAGTACGTGCGTTGGTATTTGTGAAGCAAGATAATGAAATGGGTACTGGCTCGCATAGAAAAACTTTTTCCTGGTAAAAATCAAGTGGCTAGAGTAGCTCTAATTCGCACAAGCCAAGGTACCTACAAGCGCCCCATTAATAAACTTTGCCCATTATCGGAGCAATAGTTTGCCAGTCATGTTGTAATAATTAGTTTTAATTTACGCTTAATTTTTGAGTAATCTTTTTCAGGCGAAACGTATATTTGCTTTTCTTAATTTTTATTTATATTGAAAGATTCCATCTTTTTTTACGCTAATTTTTTGCTTGGTTTCCACGAACCCAAAATGGTGAGCAGTAAATTAGAGATATTTGGATTGTCTTTATTTTATGGCGGTATGAGTTGTCGCTTGCCTACCACGCGCGCGAGCGCCGCTATAACAATCCAAAGAATAGCTAACCGCCGCAGCATCCACAAGTAATTTATATGCTATCCGTTGAGTGCACCCCCGCTTCTTCAACCGCTTCCACACCTGCAATCTTCACACCGACCAGAGCATCAGGAGCGCTCCTGTATCACCGCTACGCCAGGAATTAGAACAAAATATCGGATCAAAGGTAGGCGACAACCGCATTTTATTTCTTGAACCAGCCGCTATACAGTCTACTCGAATATTCTAACCCTGTACAAGATTGTTGCATCCCCAAACAGTGATAACTTCAAGGTCTCTCGTCAGAGAGGAAGCCGCTGCTACTCTTCTTTTTTCCAGCTCACAGGTTCTCTTGGGTATTATGTAAAAATTACGCTCGAAGGACAGATATTTTCATCAAATGAGGAGGCAATCACCTTTGGAAACAATTGTTTTGCAGAGAAAAGTGCCAAGTACTATTTGGACGGGTTACAGAGATGGGAGCATCGCTGGGAGAAGTGTGTAGAGTTACAAGGAGATTATGTTGAAAAATCAAAAAAGTCATAAAAATGTCTTGTATCTTGGTTAACTCTGAAACTTTTAAGACTACCCTCACCAGGTTACTAAATGTTTCCCTCAACTTAACCTTTGATGACATTTAGCAACAATCTCACATACTATTCTCCTGATGATGATTATACTCCAACTACCACGAAGGCCTAAGGCCTAAGCACCCATTGGGTACCGTGGGGCTATGGGGGATGCATGGGAAAGGGGGGGCGCCACACGGACTCCGGCGAGGGAACACGTGTGCATGCAACATGCACACATTCTGGCTCCGCCTACGAGAACCGCCGAATGGCAAAGTCCATTGAAAGCCAGACACTAATAAAGTATAAAGAGTCCTTATTGCTTGAATTTTGTCGAAGTTCCCAATTAAAGGCGGAAGGTATATATATATATATATATATATATATATATATATATATATATATATAACAAAAATAGGAAAATAATGGGCAAAATCCGCAAAAAGTGGATTCGAGCAGAAAATAGGATAGGTAACCCGAGCGATACGTATTTCTGCTGGTTGGCTTCATTCAACAAGAGCCAACCTACACATTGTAGTATAAAATGGCTAGAAGACCTCGAATTTTCAAGGGGACAAATAACCACAACCACGCGGCCGGTTATAGCCACTTGCTGTGGTACTTCAAGCCCAAAGGATCTACAAAGAGAAAATTATCATGCGGAGAAAGGTATATAACAAAAATAGGAAAATAATGGGCAAAATCCGCAAAAATGGAAAGTGGATTCGAGCAGAAAATAGGATAGGTAACCCGAGCGATACGTATTTCTGCTTGTTGGCTTCACCAGGCCCGAAATGAATGCCTATAATATGCAACTACAAAAGTATATATATATATATATATATATAACTTGAGACGTGGTCATTGTCGTTTAGACCAGTTAGGTGAAAATAAAGCTGCCGCCTTTTGTTGGGTACTTCGACAAAATTCAAGCAAAAAGGACTCTTTATACTTTTTCAATCTCTAGCTTTCAATGGACTTTGCCATCTTCATCAGGAGCTGCAATAACATTGAGAAGAAATAGCAACTATTGTGCAAAATGATTTTGAATTAACTTACAGTCATATGTGAGATTTTTGCTGTTATTAACGTTTAGGTTGAGGGAAACACCCAGTAACCTGGTCAATGCTGGATACATGATACATTCGTCAAAATTAATATAACCTACACACAGCTGTATGTCAGGAACAAATTAAAACGGATTAAAAATATTTAAAACGAAAGTTAAAATTACATCGT